ATGTGCTGACTTCATGCCGCAGGAACACCGGCAAAGGACGCGGCTGGATCGAAGGGAGGTGTTGCTGTTTGTAGGGGCTGTGGCTCAAGGGTTGGCCATGCCGCTAAGAGTAGGCGGGTGATAGACATCCAAACAGACTTTGTTGCATGGGGCCATCATGCTGCTTACATGGATTAAGCCTTAGTCGTCCCACGCATCCAAAGCTCTGGAGACTTTGAGTTGCTCTTCGCTCATGCCTGTCCGCAGAAGGGGTCAACTCCGGGATCGTTGCGATAAGGCCGCTGGCACGGGATGCACAAAGGTCCACAGAATCCTCCCTACCTAGGGCCTTCATCTCATTCGACCTGGTCAGCTAAGCCGGTGGAAAGTATGGGACCTGTTCGCCGGCCGACTCACCTCCGTTACCCTCGCTGCGCGACCGTCCTAGAAAGCCAAACAGGAGCTTTAATACTTAGCTTTGGGTGGTTGGACCAGGAGTCAGTACTGGGTTTAGGGTTTAGCGCTTTAGGCTTTTTGGGGAAAAGGTTTGAGGGTTTCGCGATCACGGTCTGTGCGAAGATAGCTTCCGGCCTGTCATGTTTTCGTTGGAATTTCGGCCAGCCAGCTTAGGTTGGATGCACGAAGAAACTCCAACAAGGTGCTGCAGGAGCTAAAGGAGATGGAGGCGGCGACAACCTTCTTGACAGCTTTGTTGATTTGCACTTCTGCTCGCAGATTCTGACCTGCGTTGAGCTTCAAGGGGTTGAAGCAAAACAAGAGTTCTTCTTAAGGCGAAGCTCAGAGAGCGAGGCTTTCCCATGTTCGTAGCTTCGCAGCCTGTGCGACTCGGAATCTGTACATGGGCTTCTGGTCGCCCTGAGAAGCCCGCTGCTTATGCATCGCAGTTGCTGTCAAGGGTCAAGAACCTAAGCGTCATGTCGCTGACCTCTTAGAACGGAGGATGCCCACAAGGCCGAGCTGAGCGAGGTGGATGAGGAGCAGCCTGGTTGTAAACCAAAAGCCCAAGACGGTCCGGAAGAGGCTGCATGACATGCATTTGTGGGTTTTGTCGCCGACTGCCGTATTGAGGCGTTCCATGCGTGTTTGCCGTAGTTTCCGACTTCTAGAGATGTTGGTCAAGTCTGTGGGTGTTCGCGGCGTTTTCGGCAGGCAGCTCTCCGAATCCTTCATGCATACCGCGCTTTCCGGCCGATTCTACTTTCTTCGTCACCTGCCACCTTGTAACGTCCCAGCCCCCAGTGCGGTGGTGTTTTTCTGACTTTGTCCGCCTTGTTTCTGACGCGACTTCCCGACTCAGCCGTCACCCCCACATGCTGCTGCGTTTGACCATGCGAACCTTCGGTCGTGTAGGGACATAAGGTGGAAGCGCCGAAGATTAGCTACGAGAATGTAAAGAGGAAACCTGAACATGCACAGTGTGGCTTTGTAAGAAAGTCGTAGCAACAGAACCGCAGCAGTTTAAATCTGCCACAGGTTTGCCCTCCAAGCAGAAACGGTAGAGTCACTAGACACAATGAAACGGTGAAATGGTTCCGCAATACAGCAACATCGCCACAGCAGCTTTGCAGTACATGGACATGCAACTCTCCGTACAAAAGCGGTATGGGGCAAGAAGGAAGGAACAGAGTAAAGATAACTTGAGAAGGAATTTAGAAAGCAAGCAGAACTTGAGAAAGGATTGCGTCGCTGGTGGCGGCGGCTGAGGGTGCCGCCGAAAGCCTCGAATCACATGACGCAACTTGGCCACTGAATCCCTGCGGATCTGATCAGGGAGCTGCATGAGTCGAAGTTTAGGGGTCAGTGTGAAGTCGTGAAAGGTGACAGTGGAGCAGAGCTTCAAGCAGGAAGAGGCACTTCGGGTCTCAGCTACATTCCGATGATTAGCTTTCATGTTCTAGCAAGTTTCGCGGGCTCCACTCGACGAAGCTAAACATGTATTCCGTGGAGTTCTTCAGGCAGCTCACAGTTCGATTTCCGCACCTCTGCAGTAGAACACGCCTTGAATCGGGTAGTCCACAGTGTCAGAAGTGCCCCGGAGTGGCACGTGTGATATAATCCATAATAATATAATATAATATAATGTAATGTAATGCAATGTAATATAATGTAATATAATGTAATATAATGTAATATAATGTAATATAATGTAATATAATGTAATATAATGTAATATAGTGTAATATAGTGTAATATAATGTAATATAATGTAATATAATGTAATATAATGTAATATAATGTAATATAATATATATATATATATATATATATATTATAAAATATTAATATAATATATATTATATTTTCTATTATATATATGATATATGATATATGATATATGATATATGATATGTGATATATGATATATGATATATGATATATGATATATGATATATGATATATGATATATGATATATGATATATGATATATGATATATGATATATTATATATTATACATTACATATTATGTATTATATATTGTACATTATATATGATGATGATGATGATGATGATGATGAGTTCGCACGAGCTGTTTGTTGGCCAGGCCGAGGCGACGGAAAAGAAGTTGAAGCAGGACGGGCCGACTTGCGTACGAGCTTCCATTCAGGACCAGTGCAGGGCCACAAGGATGCACGATTGAGCTACAAGTACCGGCTTCGCGAGAATTCAGAGCTTCGAATGAGCACTAAGTTGAGCTTGCTTTGGGATGTTGCCGCCGTCAGTTGCCTCGAGTTTGCAGTTTGCAGGTTCTGGACGAGCTGGACCTGACTAAGAAGGAGCACGTTTCTTGGACCTGGTGTTGAGTCTGAGGTAGGTCATCCGAACAAACACGGCAAATATGCCAACATCTCAAGGCACATGCTGGCTGAGCATGTGCGCCACACCTCGCCCCGTGGTAGACACACCCAAGTTCCACAGCCAAGGAGGAGATGGACAAGCAAGTGACTTGGCTGCCATGGTCGCTGCCGTTCTGCCGGCACCCTTTACGGGCCCTTTGTCAATGTGTACCCTGTTGACAGCTCCTCGCCTCGTGTCCCTCCACTTGGCCTGCCAAAAGATGTCGTTTCATTGAGCCTTGCAAGCGAGCGATGTTCAACGCATGCGGCCATTGAGTGAAATCTGAGTCTGAACCAAGGCAAAAGACATGCAAGAGCAGGTTCGCTACCATGAGTGCGGTGATGCCAAACATGTGCAGCAACCCTTCCTTTCTCTCCGTTGTATTCATGATTCATGATGGGTAGCCTGTAGACCCGCAGGATGCAAAGGCAGAGAGAGACAGAGGGAGATAGAGAGCTTGCATGGTCCTTGTCGGACCGGTCTATGAGCATGAAAATCTGTAAAAAGCAAACGGTGCACAAGTCCTTTCACTCCCCTCTAAAGGCCCCGAAGCGCGAGTTAGATCTGAAGCGTAGGCTGCTGCAACGGTCAGGATTCCATTATGGGTTTGCTAGGGTTCTATCAGGGTTCTAGATGTTTCTAGAAGGATTCTGTAAGGGTAAAGGGTTCAGAGTTCAGAGTTCAAGGTTTACGGCTTTGGGCAAGGGTTTAGATGTGATGTTCTTGCGTTTTTTTCTCTGTGCTCTGAGTGCTTGCGCCACTGCTATGTCACTTCGTGGTGGTGGTGGCAGTCGCAGTCGCGGTAGCAGTAGCAGTAGCAGCTTAGTAGTACCCAGTTGTAGGAAGAGGAGGTTTCTAGGCTGGAGACACGACACAGAGCTTTTATACCCTGCAGCAGATGGTCGACTTGGGAGACAAGATCCGGCTCTGCAAGGCCGCTGTTGATTTCGGCACAGACCAGCATCCCTGCCTTTACGATTTACAGTAGGGCCTGTTTTGCGATTTGGGGAAGAAGGCTTTATAGGGCGAGTGCAAGCCCGGACGCAGAGAGGGTTTAGACTTGCGTAGCTGCTTCTTCCTAAGCACTACGGTATCAGGTGTCTCATCACAACCAGCGAGGATAGAGGATAGAGCTTTTTGCAGATTGCAGTGTTGTGACAGCTGACGTCAGGCTGACGTGCCTTTGCCCCCACAGAAACGGTTCAGCTCCGAGGGTGAGTTCATGCAAGCCTTCTTCTGATGTCGTGTCTCGTAGGTTCCATTGCAGGTGCAGGCTTGCAGCTTGTCGTGGGTCAGTTTCGGAGTGAAGCCGTTTCAACGGCCTTGTGTGGCAGGAAGATGCGGTCAAAGCAATGTCCAATGCAAAGCAGCACGCTTTGGAACGTGTCTTGGCCTTTACGATGGCTGAACCATTCGAATCGCGAAGGGTATCGCCAACGGCTATCTGCAAAAACAACATCAGCTCCAAGCCATGTTGTCGAGTCTGGCTCAATGTTGGCCAATCTGCTTGAGATCCTTGTACGTGCTCGAAAAACCGTCAAAAGCCTTTACGTTTCCCTGCTTGAAGTACGAATGCGAAGACAACGTCTCGATGACAGGTTTCGATGAAGGACAGAAGCCCTACGAGCTGCCTGGCCAACACTTGAACTTGTGCAAAAGGCAGCACGTGATTATTGTTCAAACTTCCGTGTCTGTTCTGTGCTCATTCTCCGACAGACGCAAGCCGAGGTAGGATGCTTGGCCACGCGTGTGCAGTTGAACGCCCCCGAAGGTCTCACCCTTTTGCCGATAAATTGCGGCCTGACGGTGCCCCCGCCACAGTGGAAGAGAGCAGCTGTCAGTGCAACAAGAACGGCGCAGAGGCAACTTGCACGGAACGGCAGCAGGTTCCATCATTTTTGTTACACGCATTTGCCTTTCCCGGAACTTTGCGCCATGTGAGAGCAAGACACTAACATTTGGCTGTGCAGCCCACCAATGCCTTCGAGACATCACGAAGCTGGCTCGAGGAGGAGAGCTTCACCCGCATCCAAGCGCAAACGACAAAGCTTCGGCCGATAACCGGACAGTCTTCTTCCATGCAGGGGCGGATCATCACCCAGTTGAAAGTACTCGTAGCCGTAATTCGCATGGACATGGCCGTGTAGTGTAGTGCCGAGATGTCATGACATCCGCTTCCGAAGAAAGAGATCTTGCGCCAGCTTCAGGAGGCCAGATGCAGGGTGTGCCTTGGTGGGTGGGGCTAGCGTGGGTGCTTGATGGATGCTTGCGAAGGTACGTATTGTACGCTATGTACGTCTATGTACACTCGATCCGTGTCGCATCATGTTCTTTCTTCATTCCAGGTATGCTTCACACGCTTCATATGCAGATGGTAGGTACTGTGCTGTAGTTACTGGGTGTTGGAAATATGCGGTGACCGCCGTGGAAATCTAACTTTGTGTAAAAAGCCAAAGCCAAAGAGACCCCGAGTTCTGAGAACACCCTCGCCCCCTCAGAGTCGAAATATACTGCAGGGCAGGTGGCAGACCGGTGTCGGCGTCCGCTTTCTGTGGTTGGCTTCCTTGGCATCTCCGCCACTTGTCAAGGCCACAGCCTGCGTCCTCCCCGGGTGTAGAAATTCGCAACCTTTCGCGACGATTGCAACTCCTTCCAAGGCTTTTCTGTCAATCTAGCGCTGGTATTGTTTTTTGCTGATGCTGGCTACACCTCGCGCTCGCCACAGATAATCTCGGACTTATATACGTAGAGCAGCTTTTTCTTTAATGCGAATGCCATCAGGACTATGGGCTGGGTCAGCTTCTTGACAGCACTCCTAGGGAGTCTTCGTGAAAGCTTGTTCCACGAGCCTTCATGGGCTGCCCGGGTCGTGAGTCGTGTGCTTACAACATGCTCTAGAGCGCCTTCGCACCGTAGCTGTTGTTTGCCTGCCTAGCAGGCCTGAAGTCAGTCCCAAGACGAAGCCTTGTTTTGGAAATGTCTTCGTCTGCAGAGGCTGGAAGTGTTGGCGTCGCGGTACGAGGCAGTTCTGGGCAGCCTGCCTTTGTCGCATTGTGCTCAACGCTTCCGGGCTACAGGGCTTGGAGGAAGAGCTGCAGGAAAGCTGTAAGGAACAAATGTGCTCGCTGGGTGGTCGCAACAAAACTAATGAGTGCCTCAAGTCCACTGGTGGGCAGCCGGCGTTCAGCCAGATTCAGCCACGCATAATTGTCACAGGTGGCTTTCGCCACGGCAAAGAAGCATGCTGCCGCCCATGCCACCGGCTTGGACCAGAAGCTGGACACCGGCAAAGCATGAGCTGAACATCTCTCAGTGAAAAAGTGAGTTGATGATGTTGTAACGTTGGAAGCCGTAGCAATGGCCTGCAGAATAGCTCTGAGTTGCATCATGACCAGTTCGGAACATGCTAGTGCAATTGCCGTGATCTGTTGTCCTTAGAAGTCTCATGTCCTGAGCGCAAGTTCAGCAGGAAAGCTTCTGCTTGTCCAAGGGCAGCTGAACTGCATTCGGATATGTGCAATCAGCATGTTAAGCATTCGTTTTGAGACTCACGATCCTCCGTCGGGGCGAATGCGCCAAATGTCAAGGCATCCCGTACCTGGGTAGCGTGGATGCGAACTCGTCGAGCATGGTGGATCGGGCGAGCCGCACCGACCTGGTTGTCATCGGCGGCTACGTGGCCCGGCCACTACCGCTCTGTGAACCTGCAGGTGGTTTTCGGGTGCGTGAGGCCTGATCTAAGGATGGCATTCTCAAGAAGCCTTTCCTATCAGCTCCGAAGCATGGTGTGATCAACACCCATCTCGGTCTGCTGAAGCTTGGCGCAAGTTACCGTCCTCTGATGATATTGCAGGAACCAGGCAGCTCTTGTCGAGGCAATGATGCAAGACACGGTGTTTGCAGCACCAGCAATTGGGACTGACAATATGAAGAATCCTGAAGATGTTGTCTGTGCTTCTGTTACCTTATGGTATTGCCGGTGAGAGTCCTGAGGCTCATGATACGTAAGACTGATGATGATGTTGGAGGGGACGATGACTATGACGGCGAGAGTTGTTGTCATGTTATGTTGTGCTGGCCAAGGAGCATAAGAAACGACAACAAGTGCTTCCTTGATGTAAATGTAGCTACACGAAGCACAAGTGAGAACAGCAGACAGAAACGCAGTAGCAGCGCCCAGACATCAACATGACATGACAGTTCGTACTCCTTAGCCTTGGGAAGATTCCTAAAGGATGAACAGAAGCCAGCAACATCAGCGGCAAACATGATCGTAGCAGTTGTAGCAGTGGTGATGCGGCGAAGGAGTAGTAGCGACACCTTGCTGGTGACAGCAGTCTTGGCATGGGGTAGTTGTAGCCGTGGGTGCATGTGATAAAGGTATGGCAGTCGCTCAGAACCTGCGTCGTTTCGAGGAGGCCCATGCATACGGATACGGCAGGGATGGCTATTCTTAGTAGAACTCCGCAACGTTTTCAAGAAAAGCAGACACAGGTCAGACAGATCACAGTTTTGGATTCGCGTTGCTTCCCGGACTAAAAACTGAAAACCCGAGACCATCCGAGGCCTCAGAACCGTGGGTGCTGCCCAACTCTTTGGGCCCAGCTGCATGGTCGCCCTCAGGTGGAGCTGGGCACCGTTTGCGTGGCTTTTCGCCAGAATTCCAGCCTACAGTTTGGGTCTGGGCAGGCTTATGGCTTATGGAGTCGCGCAGCTGTTCCCGGGATGTTCAGCCTGTCCGGAAATCAACGGAAAGAAAGGAACCACAGGGCTCTGGCTGATTCTGCTGCAACCGAACCTGAAGACCCTGAGCCCAAACCAGCTGTGCAGACGCCCCTTTGAACACTTCCTGGTGGCAGGGATTCACTACGTACCTGGTCGCTTGGATGCGGTTTCAAGCTTGCAAGTGCCTAACTTCGAAATCTTGCTGCGACGTACGACGGCTTGTCTTTTAGTCCTTTGCGGTCTGGCCGACAAGCGCCCGCCTTGTTTCTGACATATTTTCAATGCCAAGGTCGGTGAGGCCATCGACCACGGCCCCATCCTCGACATGTTTGAGGCGATCTCTGCTCCCCCAACCATGTCCAGGAAGCCCATGTCCGTTTCAGAGAGAACCAGAGGCTCCCGGGCTTGGTGGAATGGTGCAGAACAATCGCCAGGCGCGGCTGGACTCTGGCTGGGACTGCTGTGTGGGGTGCAGGGGAGGACAAGCATGTGGCCGCCCCACCACTTCACCGCTTGTGGATGTTGAAGTTGATTAAGCGGCGTCTGATGGACCAAGCTGGTCCAAGGCGACAGCAGTACTGCACCAGCTTCATGCAACACCACGATGTGCAGGCATTCTGATGCTAACTGCTTGAACACATGGTAAAAGATTGGGCATAGCATGCCTGGCCACGCTCGCGTTCTGCACCTGGATCTGGATGTGCTGTGCACTGCTTGTGAAAGAAGTCCAGGTTGAATGGTACTGGCAGTTGGTCCAACATCTGTAGATGTGGATGTTCGGCTTGAAGGACGAGCAAGTCAAGGTCTATTGTGTTTTTCAGAAGTCCGCTCCATCTTCTTGCACCAGATCGCCAGGTTTACGATGAGCTGGCGCAAGCAGCCGAGACTTTGCGGCAAGCCAGCTTTCGCTTGAAGCGTGTGTGTGCTTCGTTGCGTGTTTGTTTGTTTGCTTATTTCTGTGTAGTTGAATTACCAGGCGAGCATTGCAAACTGTTGAGAGAGCAATATGGGCACACGGCACTTGTGCCCTACTGTAACTGCCATTTGCAGGCAAACTGTAAGTCGGAAGGGAGCAGACTTGCCTTGTAAATGTCGTTGAAGTACTTGAGTGTGCATCTCTACGGTGGCCGCAACCAGATAGCCAAAAATCACCCAGGGGTGACAGACCAGCGGGGGGTCGGAAAAAATTGGCAGTAGTATCCCTTATGACCCCACAAATTATGGCGTCATATTATACCCCAAAACCACTGCAGCCAGTCGAAACTTCAGATAAGCCGCTCCTCTCCGCAAGCTCCTGACAAGTGCAGTGACAAGGTACAACGATTTCCCGCCGCATTGGAGCGCTTCTCTGCAGGCGAAGAACTGGCACCGTGCCAAGGCGAGCTGCTCAATAGCTGTCCGGTTCGTAAAGCTCCCTCACTCGAGGGTGACTTTCTCCCGAGTTTTGGAGCCAGGAGGTTGGATTACTGTGGAGGTGTGGCATAGTTTTGACCCCTCCGGCTGATCCTGAGAAATTTAGCACACTTGTGATCCCGCCACGAAGGAAGAAGAAGATCATGGTGGGCATGAAGTACAAACCGTACTCATGTTCTTGTTTAGATGAAACGGTCTTTTCTAGAATGATGCTACGCCAAGTGTTAGCATCGAGACCTTGCGGTTGTGTTCTGTAGGGTAGTGGTAGCACAGATGAAGGCGTTGACATCTACCACAAGAAGGGCATGCCCAATGATGGCTGGCTTTCATTTTACTGGAGCCGTGGCGGATGAGATATGAGATACGGGCCACTTTGTGCTTTTTACACGTTCTGCTGCATGCAGAGTTGAGCCATAAGCGACGCCGCATACCTTTGCGTAATGAGGACTTTGCATGATCCGATTGGTCTACAACTTGAACTGATGCTACCCTCGAAGCCCCGCAAGTAAGAAGTCTGAATCTCCGCGGGCTTTCATCGAGGCCGTGTTGAACAGGCAGCAGTGCTGCGCTTACGCTATACTTCCTTGTCTGCAGCGGGCTTTGTTTCCGTTTCCGTGCTTAGCTTGGTGCACCTTTCTGGTGCTCCCTTGTATAGCCAGCCATGATGCGGTTTCACATCTCGATCCAACATCACAGATGGAAATTCGAGCCCAGGAGTGATGACTTCTTGATTCGGTTCTCCTTGGCAATGGACTTTGCTCCATACCTGCCCGGGCGGACACGTGTCGAGGCCTGGAAGCCAAGTGTGTTGACACCGGTGCAGGGGAGTTGGAGGTGTCTTGGAGCTCCATCCGGGTCTCATACCATCGTGTGCTTTGGGCAGGAGGGCGGCGAAGCCTCTTGGCCAAATTTTACGGCAAGCATGCAGGGCATGCGTGCTCTTGTGATGCCCCTGAAACCACGCTTCCAGGGCAGAGAAAAAACACACGTGTGCTGGCACAGCACGCCTTGGATCTACGGACCAGTGGAAGCAACAGCGGCCCAAACCTGGCAAGCCAAGTGCTTTTTCGAGATCGAAAAGTCCGCAACTCTAAGGCGATAGCCCTGGCAGTGGAAGCAGCTTGTGCAGCGCTCGAGGAGCCTGGCGAGTGTCGGGGTACCGTTTTCGTGACATCGACTAGCACAAACTGGTCACGAACGACACGTGTTGCCTGGCCATGTTGCCATTTGCATTTCATTGTGCTACCTGTATCAGCTGGAGACAATAAGTGCGCTTTTGCACGTGCCGACCCTGGGCGGCCTACATCGACACCCTACCTTGTCACAGCATGCGCCGATAGTCTTCGTGCGGAGCTCGTAGCCATCGCATTGTCCGATGCGGTGATGTGCAGCACCCCAAACGTGAAAGAGCGCCCTAAATGTTTGGAAGGATTCGGCAGCAGAAGGAGCAGCGGTGGGTGAGGTTTTGGACGCAGATGAGGACTGCAAACTGATGGGTTCGAGAGTGGGCTGTGTCTTGAGTTCACGCGCCTGTGTAACTTCGCGACTTTCGGGCCCGACTCTATTTTTGGTGAAGCATGCAATACTCCTCGGCTCTCAACATCACGCACACACACACACACACCACAAGCTAAAGAAGTTGAAGCGCTGTGCCGCCTTTGAGCTTAGGTGCCAAGGGGAACCTGGCCGGGCGAGCTCTAATCATGCCTGTGTACAAGGTGCCCAGGCCCACAGCCAACGACAAGCAGAAAACGCAAGACAACCATCGAGCCACTAAAAATGCAGCGGTGTACTCCGACTGTAGAACCCAAGGAGCAGTCCTTCCGCCAGCCTTGCTTTTGGCTCCATTGCCCGGTCCGGGTGAAGAAGGTTCCTGAAACCTCTGCTCAGGGCTTGCTACTGGTGAAGACTCGTCTTGGAGTCCTTCGTTGCCGGCAGCTCACCGGGACTCGAGTTACGAAGGGCGGAGTGCCTGGGCCGATCTGGTGGCAAAAGGCTGTGCTGGAAGACCTTACGGCAGGTGTAGCTTGAAGGGGGTTGAGTTTTGTCTCGATTCGATGGTCGCGGATGTTTAGCATCAGGGGTGGTTGTTGCTCCCTTGCACAATACCCGAGCCTCAACATGTCGAGCACCCCGTATACTGGGCAAGAGAGGTAATTGCAATGCAATGCTTCAGGGCGGGTCCTTTCAACATTCTTTCTAGGAAACCTTGATCGGCAATGAGCGCGGAATAATCGCAGCAGCGTGGCGAAAACACATGTCCTGCTGTAAGCTTCTCACTGCCAGCTGCTCATCTCCGGGCGCCCGCTCGAGCAGTCGGCAGCAGCAGGCCGAGCCCTTCTCAGATGTCCGTCCATGCGGATTCAGGTGCTATGACTACTTCTTAAATGGTACATAGCAGTCACAGGAGCGCCTGCTGGAGTTGTGCATTCATCCCTAAACCCAAACCCGACTGCAGCGAAGATCGAACTATGCGGAGCCTTGCCTGCCTGGCGCGAGTGTGAGAGCCGAAACCTAAACAGATCCTGTTGTGGAAACAGGTCCTCAAAACGACTTAAGCCATAGTTTGACGTCAATGTTGTGTTCATCTGTGGAACAGCTTCTCTACAGCCCTTTGGTGCCGATCCGCAGGTCCTTGCCCCCACGCTATTCCGATGCACTTCAGTGGGCAGGACAGCCGGCCCAGTCGTAGGTCAGAGGCCCCAGAGGCAGATTGACATCTTGTTTCAGTTGGATGCTGCAGAGGTCTACACGCATCTAGTGTTCTGCTACGTCAGACTGCAGGAGCTGCCCTTGGAGCCTTACCTGTCATTGCAATCTCCCGAGAAAAGTGCAGGGTGTGGCCAAGCTCGAGCTATGCCTGTGGTTCCCCCGAAGTGGAAGGATGGCCGTGCCTGTCCTGTGTGCGAGGTGGGCTCAAAGAAGCTCGGGTAGGTGAAGGACCACAGCCCGCGGACTGGAACAGTCGCATCATGTCCTGCCTGGGTTAAGTTTCGGGGCCTGCCTGCCGTTTGCAGGCTAAGCCTCGCATCGACTTAGGCGACGATTACATCGAGCAAATTGCATGATACCAGCCACGACGCGCCCTTCCGCGGCAATGGTTCTATCTACGTAACCACCTTGAGCCCAAGC